GCGTTGTAAACAATAGGAGGTTGAAGTAGATTACTGGGTATCATAATAAGTGTGAAATATCGAAAATGTTTTTATTACCGGTATTTTTTGTAGATCAATGAGAACTGTGATACTGTATATGATATGATAAGTTAGCCTGTGCTAAGAACTTCAACATAGACTACTGAAAGCACATTGTAAGGTAATTTAGCCCATTGTAAGTTGGTGAGCTTCATTTACTGAAGGAACTGCACAACTTTTCATTACTAATCGGTACATATTTTACGTTTCCATTGTTTACTGGCAGTAAATGGTAAATATTTTTCATGTCTGAAGCTAAAAGTTGCTCCTCGCCCTTCCCATCATGCACGGGTTCAACCTAACAAAACTATTACGCATGTATAGGACGACCCCCAATTTGGTGTTAAAAACTCGAACTATACACGAGTATATACGGTACTTTATGTTTTACATCGTCCTGTGCTACCATACCATGCGTTTGGCTACTTTGGGCTCGTTATGATGACGCAAGAGATCTGCCCTGGCAACTGTACCGACACTCACAGCGAGTGTTGCGTCGTTTCCATTGTTTACTGGTAGTTACTGGTAAATATTTTTCAACCTAACGAAACTATTACCCGTTTAGAGGTCGACCCCCAATTTTTTGCCAAAAAATTTGGTCTTAAAAACTCTTAACTACACACAGGTATATACGGTAAATAAGGACATGGGGGGCCAGGGATGTTTTTAGGGGGGCCAGCAAAAGTACGCGGCTTCTTAACATTCACGGGTATCTCTGTTACCTAACCCCCGCGTATGTTAAGGCCCGACTGTACTCTAAATAAATCACAATACGTACTGTACATACTCACTAAATTATAAATAAATATATGTAGTCATTTCTGCTACAACGCATGTTTTGTCAACGCGAATTGGTTATAACGCGATTGATGAATAGAAGAACGATATTTGTAAAACGCGAACATGTGTTGGCTGCAACGTGATTCCACTTGAACGTTTTAAGTGTACTGTTGCTTGGCGCGGGGTTATGCAGTGTTTACAGTTCACGTTCGACATCACATGTTCAATTGATTCATGTGTTTTGTTTGTGAAGTGTTATTTGATAGGGACTCTATAAATTTCATCCTTTTTTTGCAAATTTAGCTGTTCCCATAAATACTGTATGAAAAAAAAAATAAAAATAATGTTTCGCAGTGCGGACTAATAGCGTTTTACACTCGCTCTCTCTGTTTCCATCACACGATCAGTTGAAACACGTGGGTTGTTTTGAAGCTTCCTCAGTGATTTTTGCTTGCTATTTCTCCAATTTTGTGGTATTAACTGTTAATATGGAAAAGAAAAATATCTCCAAGAAGCGTTATGGTGATTGCATTCCCGGTGGTGATCATAAAAGAAAGGCTATAACACTTGAAGAGAAGCTTGATGTTATCAAGCGTTTTGAACGTAAGGAAAGAACATGTGATATTGTGCATGCAATGGGAATAGCTAAATTTGCAAAAAAAGGATCCTTTGTGTTAGGCTAACTACTAAATTTTTTTCGATTTCGAGTAATCTGCACCTAACCCTATTTTCTCCATAAGCCCTGTTATTTCTATTGCGAGTATTTCTACAACACGAGGTTTTACAAGAACACAACCATCGAGTTGTAGCAGAACTGACTGTAACTAAATCACAATACAGGCAGTCCCCGACTTACGACGGGGTTAGGGACCCAAATCCAGGTCGTAAGTCGAAAATGCAAAAAATAATACATAGAAAAATCTAAACACTTCTGGGCATTATCTGTTTTATTGCTGAATGCAGGTACAGTATATTCACATTATATTCTCTCAGATTGTACCTGTGTATACAGGTACATTCTGAGAGAATATAATGTGAATCCTCTCCAGGGAAGTGTTGTGAATATCACTTTGAGATAACGCTTGTGTTAAGTGTACGGCATCCCTGTCCGGTGGTCTAAAGTGAACTGCTTCTCTCTGGGCGTGTGAGAGAGCGAGCGGGTGTTTGCTGAATAAGCTGACCCTGTGATAGATGCAACCTAAATGATCTAGTCATGAATAACATGGTGAATCATTTTGTGAATAACTTGGTGTTATTCATTTGGGTGTATTTATATAAAGCAAAGGTGCTGCAACAATACCACCCTAATGTGTGGTAACATTTTGTACTCAGAATTTGTGTTTTATCCTACATATCTATATCCTTGCTTAATATATCCCTCCTCAACCCCCACATTACCTCGCCATCCACTCACTCACCTGCCTCAGTCATTCCGTGCCCTCCCTCTCTTGTGAATGGTTCGGATTCAAGAGTCAAAACTCCCGGGGTTCACACAACATGGAGAGGGTGGATTGACAACACTGATAGTAATAGTTGGAAGTGGAAGAGGCTGTACATATATAAAGAAAATTTGTGCCTTGTGTACTGTAATGTGTGTTATTTGTATGTTGTAATGTGTGTTACAGTATTTGTATGTTGTAATGTGTGTTATTTGTGTAGTGTAATGTGTGTTATTTGTGTAGTGTAATGTGTGTTATTTGTGTAGTGTAATGTGTGTTATTTGTGTAGTGTAATGTGTGTTATTTGTGTAGTGTAATGTGTGTTATTTGTATAGTGTAATGTGTGTTATTTGTGTGCTGTAATGTGTGTTATTTGTGTAGTGTAATGTGTGTTATTTGTGTGCTGTAATGTGTGTTATTTGTGTAGTGTAATGTGTGTTATTTGTGTAGTGTAATGTGTGTTATTTGTGTGCTGTAATGTGTGTTATTTGTGTAGTGTAATGTGTGTTATTTGTGTAGTGTAATGTGTGTTATTTGTGTGCTGTAATGTGTATTATTTGTGTAGTGTAATGTGTGTTATTTGTGTGCTGTAATGTGTGTTATTTGTGTAGTGTAATGTGTGTTATTTGTGTAGTGTAATGTGTGTTATTTGTGTACTGTAATGTGTGTTATTTGTGTAGTGTAATGTGTGTTATTTGTGTAGTGTAATGTGTGTTATTTGTGTAGTGTAATGTGTGTTATTTGTATAGTGTAATGTGTGTTATTTGTGTAGTGTAATGTGTGTTATTTGTGTGCTGTAATGTGTGTTATTTGTGTAGTGTAATGTGTGTTATTTGTGTAGTGTAATGTGTGTTATTTGTGTAGTGTAATGTGTGTTATTTGTATAGTGTAATGTGTGTTATTTGTGTAGTGTAATGTGTGTTATTTGTATAGTGTAATGTGTGTTATTTGTGTAGTGTAATGTGTGTTATTTGTGTAGTGTAATGTGTGTTATTTGTGTAGTGTAATGTGTGTTATTTGTGTAGTGTAATGTGTGTTATTTGTATAGTGTAATGTGTGTTATTTGTGTAGTGTAATGTGTGTTATTTGTGTAGTGTAATGTGTGTTATTTGTATAGTGTAATGTGTGTTATTTGTGTGCTGTAATGTGTGTTATTTGTGTAGTGTAATGTGTGTTATTTGTATAGTGTAATGTGTGTTATTTGTGTAGTGTAATGTGTGTTATTTGTGTAGTGTAATGTGTGTTATTTGTATAGTGTAATGTGTGTTATTTGTGTGCTGTAATGTGTGTTATTTGTGTAGTGTAATGTGTGTTATTTGTATAGTGTAATGTGTGTTATTTGTGTAGTGTAATGTGTGTTATTTGTGTAGTGTAATGTGTGTTATTTGTGTAGTGTAATGTGTGTTATTTGTGTGCTGTAATGTGTGTTATTTGTGTAGTGTAATGTGTGTTATTTGTGTGCTGTAATGTGTGTTATTTGTATAGTGTAATGTGTGTTATTTGTGTAGTGTAATGTGTGTTATTTGTGTAGTGTAATGTGTGTTATTTGTATAGTGTAATGTGTGTTATTTGTGTGCTGTAATGTGTGTTATTTGTGTAGTGTAATGTGTGTTATTTGTATAGTGTAATGTGTGTTATTTGTGTAGTGTAATGTGTGTTATTTGTGTAGTGTAATGTGTGTTATTTGTGTAGTGTAATGTGTGTTATTTGTGTGTAATGTGTAATGTGTGTTATTTGTGTAGTGTAATGTGTGTTATTTGTATAGTGTAATGTGTGTTATTTGTGTAGTGTAATGTGTGTTATTTGTGTAGTGTAATGTGTGTGTGTAGTGTAATTGTGTGTGCTGTAATGTGTGTTATTTGTGTGCTGTAATGTGTGTTATTTGTATAGTGTAATGTGTGTTATTTGTGTAGTGTAATGTGTGTTATTTGTGTGTGTAATGTGTGTAGTGTAATGTGTGTTATTTGTGTAGTGTAATGTGTGTTATTTGTGTGCTGTAATGTGTATTATTTGTGTAGTGTAATGTGTATTATTTGTGTAGTGTAATGTGTGTTATTTGTGTGCTGTAATGTGTGTTATTTGTATGTTGTAATGTGTATTATTTTGTAGTGTAATGTGTATTATTTGTGTAGTGTAATGTGTGTTATTTGTATGTTGTAATGTGTATTATTTTGTAGTGTAATGTGTGTTATTTGTGTAGTGTAATGTGTGTTATTTGTGTAGTGTAATGTGTGTTATTTGTGTAGTGTAATGTGTGTTTTTTATGTGCTGTAATGTGTGTTATTTGTGTGCTGTAATGTGTGTTATTTGTATGTTGTAATGTGTGTTATTTGTGTAGTGTAATGTGTGTTATTTGTATGTTGTAATGTGTATTATTTTGTAGTGTAATGTGTGTTATTTGTGTAGTGTAATGTGTGTTATTTGTGTAGTGTAATGTGTGTTATTTGTGTAGTGTAATGTGTGTTTTTTATGTGCTGTAATGTGTGTTATTTGTGTGCTGTAATGTGTGTTATTTGTGTGCTGTTATTTGTGTTATTTGTGTAGTGTAATGTGTGTTATTTGTGTAGTGTAATGTGTGTTATTTGTGTAGTGTAATGTGTGTTATTTGTGTGCTGTAATGTGTGTTATTTGTGTAGTGTAATGTGTGTTATTTGTGTAGTGTAATGTGTGTTATTTGTGTGCTGTTATTTGTGTAGTTAATGTATCTAAATTTGTTTACAGGGAGGTGCATCATTCTTGGTAGTGAAAGGCCTGTTCAAGGTTTATTACAAGCAGCAACAACATGTGATGCAGAGTAGACGCAAGATAATAGACTATCCCCAGGATCCTTCCACGCCGCCACAGGTCCCAGCTGCCTCCACTCCCCGTGCGCCTCCCACCACGCCACAGGAGTTTCCCGTCACCTCATCGTTAACGACCACTCAACCTTCGTCCAGCCAAAACTTTGATTAGCAGTAGTTCAGTAGTTATAACAAGAGTAAAGTTGGCGAAGAACAATTTTTAAATATTTTGTCTTCAAACATTTTATGCAGATAGTGGCATGTGTTAATACTATGACTCCTGGATCTGCTGTGTTGTTATTAAGTGTGGGAAGTGTACATTATGACTGAGGGCCGTAAAGCACTGTTAATTATGCCTCTTGGTTTCACTCAAATTGTCTCGGTACTTATAAACAGCACTTTTTCTGATGACTTTTCTGTGAACTTAAGAAATGTTGTCAATTATATTTATTTAGTGACTCATCAAAACATCTTATTTGTTCCCTTGATAAATGAAGAAGTGATATTCTACAATTAGTACAGTATACTAGTGTAAAAAATACCCTTTTCCACACCCTTGTGTAGCTTATATTGTCTGACTAGGAAATCTAATGAAACCAACAATTTAAAGACTGAAGCTTATCACTTAATTCTTATGATGTACTCTATAGGCTTGCTCTACTGTATATTGTTCATGTACTTTGAAAGTCTCTCAAGTATGACATTACTTGAAAATACAGAACAACTTAAAATAGAGAAGCTTGAAGACACTGTACTGTGTTATCAGTGTATCGGATTATGCTATTACAGTTACACATACGTGTGTAAATACTCATAAAAGTGATAATTTAGAAATTTACTAAATATATTTAAACAAAAAACAAAACATTTTAAGCTCTTGACTTTTCTTTTCTAGCTACCTGTTCTTCTCCAGATGGCTTTTATTACTGTGCCTGCCTGAAGTAGGGGTTGATCCATCATACTTTAACCCACCTTTCCTGTCAGGCCTATCTACCTCGACCTCAGAAGGAGGAGATGCGATACAAAGGTCGTGTCCTAGAGGCAGGAGGTCTAATGGAGCTTGTGTCCACCTGGTTAGTATGCACTTCTCACCACCTATGGGCCACCATGATATTGAAATGCTGTGTGTGATCAGTCTCTGGCTGATGACGACAGAGACAAGTCATCTTTATCCAAGTGGTTCTTTAATGATGTTGAGCAGAGTGTCTGCCTCTATATTGTGACACATTTAGGGTAGTTTGTTAGTAGAGACTACCACAGTACAGGGTGAGACTGGTGTGTATAACTTTATAACTTGGTACCAGTTAAGAGTGATCTGTGAATATGTCTGCCTAATCTTGTGGGATGTACTCAGTAAATTCATGGGCTAAGTGTGACTGGAGGGAAACCAAAGATCATTCAGTGCCACCTTACCTTGACATACAGTTCTCAAAGATGGGAGTTGAGAGATCATAGTTTTCCCAAAAAACATGATAGGTAATGAGTCATGCTGGACAGTGTATCCCTGTTGAACCTCCAAAGATGATAACTTTACTGAGACCATTCTGAAATACTATTTTCTAGCTGAGCCAGTATCCAGGCAACTTGTATACCGTCCCTCCCTCCCATATATATAGGGGTTTGTCAGGTAGAAACCAAATGTATATGGTGGATTGGTGGTAAAATTTAATGATATAATTTTCTGAGGCTGATGTATGTGATGCCTTGGGCTGCCTTGGGGAATAAGACATGATGGAACCCTCTTCTCCAGGCATGTGTATTAATGAGAACTCTTTGTGCCTTTGTTATAAGAAAAAATACAGATAAATCATTGGAACTGTTTGATACCTACACTATATAGCTGACTGGCACCCCTTGCTGCCCACAAAAGAGCATTAATATCAAATTGGTTCTCTGGTATTACTATGCCAACAATATAGACGGCTGCTGGTAGAGTCTTACACAACTGTATTTAATGCCTCTGTGTGACTAACCATTGTGGTGATGATACAAGGTAGTTGAGCTGTTGGATGATCAGTTTAAATTTGGGTAATGTATTGCCAGCTTAGATCAACTTAAGAATATAGGCAGCCAGAGATTTTGGGTTCCCGCAGTAGGTCATGGCAACTAGTGGTGCACAGTATGTCTTCAGGCCATGGCAACAAGTGGTACACAGTGTGTCTTCAGGCCATGGCAACTGGTGGTACACAGTATGTCTTCAGGCCATGGCAACTAGTGGTACACAGTATGTCTTCAGGCCATGGCAACTAGTGGTACACAGTATGTCTTCAGGCCATGGCAACTGGTGGTACACAGTATGTCTTCAGGCTATGGCAACTGGTGGTACACAGTATGTCTTCAGGCTATGGCAACTGGTGGTACACAGTATGTCTTCAGGCCATGGCAACTGGTGGTACACAGTATGTCTTCAGGCCATGGCAACTAGTGGTACACAGCATGTCTTCAGGCCATGGCAACTGGTGGTACACAGTATGTCTTCAGGCTATGGCAACTGGTGGTACACAGTATGTCTTCAGACTATGGCAACCGGTAGTACACAGTATGTCTTCAGACCATGGCAACTGGTAGTACACAGTATGTCTTTAGACCATGGCAACTGGTGGTACATAGTACTGTATATCTTCAGACCATGGCAACTGGTGGTATGCACAGTATATCTTCAGACCAGTGACCCTATTTGCCATTGCAATAATTGGGGTAGCAGCATCAATCTCATTGCATGTAGATGACTTGGTCATTTGGTATGCAGCTTCCAGCATGTCAGTGGCTGAACGTCGCATGCAACTTGCACTAGACAAGGTTTCATGTTGGACCACAGAGCATGGTTTCAGATTTCTCCCTTGGTTATAGCTTTTTTACAGTGGCTGTTTCTCATCCAATGTTGGGGCTGAACAGTCAGTTTTAGCTGGGTTTTGGCCCATGTTGAGACTAAGTGTGCTGATGTTGTGGCTAAAGCAGCTGCTTCTCACCCTGTGGCACATCATTCCCCTCTATCTGTCTCTACTATAAAGCCTGTAATGTGAGCTGCTATCCGTTTGAGTCGGCAATGTAGGTAGGTAGGATGTTGTCGGAGCAAACAAGCTCTGTCACATCCACCCTGCTTTGAGTGCCTGAGGATATCAGGGACTGTTGCGCCGCTGGGAGACTGCTATGGCCCTCCTCCGTATGAGTGCCTGGTCCCATTGACTATTCAACACCTCCTGGTGGAGTGCTCCAGTCTCAGAGATCTACGTTATAAGTACCTCTCCCAGTGCCTGGGAGGAGACGGGTCTTATCGTCTCTTTGGTGCTGAGAGGGAGGAGAGTGGGTAGCGTGGGAGGGGACATCCTCTCCTTCATGGAGGAAGCCGGCCTTCTACACAAGCTTTGAGTTT